AACAGCTTGAGTCAGAGATTGGAACAGAGTAATGGAAAACAAAGAGATGGTGTTAATCTGATATCCACAAGTTTACATGTAATCAGATAGTTTCTCTATGACCAACGCCCTTAATGGAAAATGTTCTCTCCTCTCTGGTTTCATTAAAGTGGCTAATAGACCCTGCTGAACTTTTAGTACAAGATGTAAACTAGAAAATAGTTATACAAGAACATGATTCATAGATTAGGAATCATGTTTTTTGTTAAGGTGCTCTAGCACATTAAGAAATTAGATTAACTCACTATTAATTTCTTTACTTACCGCACATATAACAAAAACGTTAATTGTAGCTCAGCAAATGAGCTACAGACTAAAGGACAAAAGAAATGCAATTGGATATTTCAGTTTTCCTCCTAGAGAGAACACTTTGATCAATAGCAAATTTCTAAGTTCACAACTATGCTGACAGGCCTGTAGTGTATATCACTTTACTATACATTATTTAATCAGATAAATAGAATCTTGACTCTTTTTTCATTTCTAGAGCTGAAACCCAGGCAGGGCCATGCACATTCTAGGCAAGCCCTGTACCACTGAGCTATATCCCTGGCCGGTTTTTTAGAGACAGGGTCTTGCTAATTTGCCCAGGTTGGCATCAAACTTGCAATTCTCCTGCTTCATCCTCCCCATTAGCTGGGATTATAGTCATGTGCCACCACATCCAGTTACCCATGGATTTTTTTAAAATAAAATTATAAAGATTTTTTTAAAAAAAATCTTAACAATTATACTCTATAAATAGGATGTGTTCTAAGAATCCTGTCAGTTCCTTATAAGACATTAGATCTGTCAAAACGTTCAAAGTTGATATTTTGTCTTCAGAAATGTATTATTGTACTTTGACACACAAAATAGATAACTATTTATCAATACATTTTCCCAACAGAGGATTACCACCTTAACTGTCACGGTAACTCCTGTCGCATGATTTCTGTGGTCTGTGTCTTTAGTGTTGATGCATGCAGGGCAAAATGGTACTCAGGGAGCAACTGTCTTATCGATACTTAATCTTATTTTTCTTTATATTAATAACCTTTACAACATTTGCTCTAGTTGAATCACCTTGTTTCATGAAAAATCATGAGAAAAACTATTCATTTTCTTAAGTCTTTGACCTTCTCAAAGCTTTGTTCTTTGGGGTGGAGGGAAAGAAGTATATCTAAAGACACAGGTAATAGGAGGAGACGAATTCATCCCACCAAGATGAATGTGGGACATGGAAGCAATTTTAAAACTGTCTTACAGAACCAAAAGCATCTTGAGTATTATTTTGACCTAAAACATGTTAATATTTTAGCATATAAGTATAGTTTTAATAATTACGTTAACAAGTGAGATATTTTCCCACTTCACATAAATATTGGGAGGAAACTAATTATGATAGAAATAATGGAGGTGTGCTGTGTGCCTGTTATTTAAAGCATGAATTTTAATACATATATACATACTTGCTACTTTTTAAAACTCTGACTTTTTTTTTTAATTTAGGGTCCCCCTGGGCCTCCTGGACCTCAAGGACTACAAGGGCCAAAGGTTATTCTTTAATTGTTTGTTACATTTTAATCACGTATAATGCAGAGAAATTTTTTTTAATTTTTTATTTGTTCTTTTTAGTTATACATGACAGTAGAATATATTTTTAAATATATACACATGGGAGAGACCCATTTTAAATACATGCATCTTGAAAATGCTGGGGAAGCAAGTCAGCAATATTGTTTCAAGGAAAATAATCTTGAGATCTGAACTAGAAGAAAAGGGAAAATAAGAAGGAAGATAACGTTCTTCCCTAAATTTAATGTCATTCCCAATTAAGAAAAAATAGAAAATATCAACCAAGGGAAAAATATGTTCCACAGAAATTACAAAGAAATACTAAACATGGTGTTTAAAAAATATTTAAATAGAAGAGGATTGAAGGAGATCTACACCGACACTTCCAAAGATCCTTCCTTCCAGTTCTTTTGTAATAAAAAGAACCAGGGAAGCTTTTGCATGATGCATTCATAAACAACAAAGGAATCATTTTGAAGTCGCGTTTTCTAACACATCCCTTTATCATATATGTTCAGACATTCTGCCATTTAATTTTTTAATTTATTTGTTCTTTTTATTTGATGTTCAAAAAATCAAATAACTCTTGTTTGGTAAAAGAAGGAGAAATGCAAAATTTATCTACCTAATTTATTTGTTCTTAGTTACACATGATAGTCAAATGTATTTTGATATACATACATGGAGTCTAACTTCCCATTTTTGCGGTTGTACATGATGTGGAGTTACGCTGGTCATGTATTCATTAAAGAACATAGGAAGGTCATGTCCAGTTCATTCTACTGCCTCTACTGCCGTTCCTATCCCCATTCCTGCTCCCTTCCCTTCATTCCCCTTTGTCTAGTCTAATGAACTTTTACTCTTCCCTGCTCTTGTATCAGAGAGAACATTCAGCCTTCAGTTTGGGGGGATTCTGCCATTTAATTCTTTCCTAATGAAACACACCAATCACAAACAGTAGAAACGTGGAATGACTTGCCTATTCCTACCCTTTGTCAATTATGTTAGCTCTATCCCTCCAAACTAAAGCTTAGTCATTTGACCATGTTTGATCAATTAACACATGGCCAGGGATTCTGGCTTTTCAGAACTGAACTACATGTGCTGAAATATGACTTTCGTCATTGGATTCTTGTAGGAGATTCAAGTGGTTTCAAAATTCATCTTCTGTTTATACTTCTCAAGTCAGTTTACTGGCTAAGTCTGTCATACACACGCACACATGCATCATTTTTTGTACCTTTTTCTAGATACTTAAAAATACAAATCTAGTACATAGAAAATTTCTCTATTAAACAAATTAATATAAAGTAAAATATGACTGAGGCCCTTGCCTATGTGGGGTGTATTGAGAACATAAATCCTAGATTCAAACAGATTTCATGTGTAACATTCATGCATTTCATATATAACATTAATAAAAAGTATGGGATTTTTACATTTTCCATTTCTCCACCATATTCTAGTCCCTACAAGATATAACACAATTGTTTGCTGCAGGCAAACCGTCTATATCCCTGGTGATCAAGTCTGTCTGGACCCCTACTCCTTAAGTATTTGGTGAGCAAGACTGGACACCTTAGATGGAAATCTGGTCTCTCCCCCTTACCATCTACCCCCGCCATCATTTCCACCATCCTATTATCCTCACCCCACCCACCCCACAGTATTCTTGTAATTGAGATCTTGTGTTAACTGATGCAGTTCTTTATGCTGTCCATGATCTCACCTGGGGTAATTGAGGCAGGATGTGTCTCCAACCATAAGACAGCAAAATGTAGCCTGACTCTAGCACAAAAACGTTTTCTCTCTCTAGACTCAGTCTCAGACTGAGAAATGCGGATTCAGCCTTTCTGAATTCGCATTTCTCCTTCCTTTACCAAACAAGAATGATTTGATTTCTTGCACATCAGATAGCTCTCACAAACCATAATTGACAGTGAAGGATAAATGAGTAGTGCCTGAATTATGCTCTTCTTTTAAGCCTCTGTGTATCATATTTTAAAGGTAAAACTTAACAAAGCAATCATGATGGGACCCTGAGTGCTGACAAGTATTCAGACTCTGAATGAAACTAGGGCTTAGCCAGGTGCATCCAACCTCAGCAGACTTGTTTGTAACAAAATAAACTTTGCTGCTACCACAAAGAGCAGGAAGTCTAAAATGAGGAAAGGGCCTTTTTTTCTGCTTTTTTATTTCATTTGTTTAGAACTGTAAAAATCATACCTTCTTTAAACATTGGAAAGCTCAAATTTCATGCTGTGACCCATGGCTCTTAAAGTTTTTACCAGGGAAGGGAGTCCCAGCCATGTCCATTTTGTCATTTATAACATCACCACACAAGCCTTTTTAGAAAACACAGCCTACAGGCACTCCCTTGGAAATCTGTCTGAGGCAGGGCACTCAACTCTAGGAAGAGCTGTTTTTAGAATTTCTATAGAGTAGGCATCAGGAAATTCGCTACAAAATCATATTCTACCTTTCAAGGAATTGTTTTATCTGTACCTTCCAAAAGTGAAAGGTGAATAAACCTGTTGTTTGAATCATCTCTAGCATATTGTTTAAATTTTTTTTCTAATGGAACATCTTCAGTTTGAAAATAACACATCAAAATCTGTTTTGTTTTGAGTTTGTCAAAAGTTCCAATAAATCATATGAACAGTAAATTTTACTTCATTCCTAGCATAGTATAGGAAATTGAAATGATCAAAAGCAATTTTATGTGGATTAAGATATTATCTGATTTATTATGTCATCCTCCATTGTGGCTTTGCTGGACACAGCACACTCACAGACTTTATGAATTTACTCAAACTGTTCCAGTTAAAATGTTGCTATAAATTCATGAGGCTTGGCATTCTAATTTTAGTTTAGCTGTTATGTTTTATTTTTTATGAAACTGGAAAAAAAGATAAGCCAACTAGATTTTTTTATGGAGAAAAAAATTAACTGAGGCACATAGGTGTTGCTATAGGATATGCTCAGTCATCAAATTATCAGTCATCTTCTACCATTTTTTTCAAACTGGCATCTTACATGGCAAAAAAAAAAAACCTGACTCTTAGCTACATATACAACATTTTGAAGGAAGAGCATTAGTTCACTTAACTGAAATATATAACAGAGTATTCTTGGGTTATGATGAATTTGATAAAAGTCAGATTGTACTTTTCAACTAGCATCATTTTTTATTTAGTGTAGCATATTGCTGATGATAATGGAGGCAAGCTATTACTTTTTATCTTAACAGGGAGAACAAGGATCTCCAGGAATCCCAGGAGCTGATGGAGAGCAGGTAATTCTCAAAGACATATACCATTTCTAAAAGCAAATCTATTTTTATTATAGATTTGAAGCCAAACATCAAGTTGTCTTCTGCCACCAAGTCTGGTGGGGTTGGCCTGTTGCTCTTCTCTGTCACTAGATTCCTAAAAATCAAAGTCTGACTAACCAATAAGATCCAGATCCATTCAGATCCCCACTCATTCACCCAGTCTAAGATTTTGAACTAGGGAGTACAAAATAGGCAGCTAGCAAAGAAATATGTTTCAGTCCCTAGGAAGACAAACAGGTTTATGCAACTCAGGGGTCCCTTACCATAATTATTGTGATCTTCACTGAAGAATGGGCTATCTGGTTATATTTAGGATGAAAATGATCAACAATAGAAATTAGTTTCAGCACTAGTGTTACACAAATCAGATTTGCTAACCTTCAAAATACACATTTATCTATTTCCTCACTATAAAAGGAAAATAAAAATAACATCCTGGCTCACCATATAGAAATGCCATGAGGATAAAATTAGAACACTAAAACAGTTGAAGTATTTTTTAAGCATTGATTGATTAAACGCTAGTGTACAGTAAATGATTTACCTGTCTGTAGGCTGGACCATTTGAAAACTCAGGATGACTAGAACAGTTAAGGGGGAGGGGAATGTCGAAAGTAGAAGTGGGAGAAGTATCTTTGGGCCTTGTAATAATATTAGATCTCAATTCTGTGAGAATTAAAGTCATTAAGTTGTTTTCAAGCCTGCTCAGGTAGAATTGCTGCCAATTAAATACATGAAATCAGGAGAAATCGTGTCAAAACCTAAGCTCATGCTTTTCATATTTAATTGGCTAGTAGAACTCAATCCCTTCCACTAGTGGGTAAATAGTATTGATTCAGTGTAGACGGTTGCTGTAAGAAATAGCCCTGCCTAAGAATGAAAATCAGAATCATCCCAGCATAGGACCTAGTGATAAAATTGATCAGATTTCTGTTTTCCCTAGAATGTAACTATCAGGGGTCAGAAGGCTCCTCACATGCAAACCCTCTCATTTTTAGGGACTCAAAGGCTCAAAGGGAGACATGGGGGACCCAGGTATGCCAGGTGAAAAAGGAGGAATTGGACTTCCTGGATTACCGGTAATTTTTTACTTTTTCTTATGAAATGTTCTAAGTTAAGGCAATTAAAAAAGAATTATGTTCTTAATACTCCAACTGGGAAACTAAAAATTTTAAATCTTGTTGCTAGATGAATTATGAAGTAAATTTTACCTTCAAGTTCTTCCTAAATTATATTCACTAGAAGATAGTAAAATAAGTGTAATTGGTCACTTTAGTATGCATAAGATGGTAGTAACCGATTATAAAATAGATAATGAAAAACAAGCCAAAAAATGTGGAACAATTAAAGAAAAAATTACTTGGTAAATTGTTCTTCTTGTTTGATATTTTGTAATGGGTGCATTTATAGTTTCCCTCATAATTTTTATTGAGAATTTGGAGGGGGGAGAATATAGAAATTATAAGAAAAATGTATGCTTGATTTTGGGGGGTTTATTTGTTTTTGCATTACTGGGGATTGAACCCAGGGTTTGTTCCATGCTAGGCAAGTGCCATGTCACTGAGCTACATTCCCAGTCCACAAGAAAAAAATGTAATAAACTTCACTGCCCTATGTGTTTTTTTTAGGTAAGGAAGTATACAAATGTCCATGAAAACTAAGTTAAAAGGCTCTTTGCAATTTAAAATGAGCACCATCATAAAAGATGCATTTATAACCCAACAGTTGTAAACTTACTGTGTAAGTTTCACTAATCAAGCCCAGTCTAGATTTTTAATTCATTTATATTTTACATACCACCCACAGACCTAGGAATCTTATAGTAAGCTTGCTGCTTTAAGCTAAACTACAAGGAGATAAATTTACTTTTTTTTAATACAATGTGCATAATATCATAAAATTTCAAGAGAATAATGGATTTGAGGAGAAAAATTCAGTTTTCTCTCACACTTTGGAAATAACTTCACCTGCTTAACTCTGCTTGTTGGTCATTTGCAGGGTGCCAATGGAGTGAAGGGAGAAAAGGGAGACTCCGGATTGCCAGGTCCCCAGGGTCCTTCTGTAAGTTCATGGACCTTGAACTTCCACTGTTCCTGAAAAACAGACACAAGATGATTATTTACCTAGTTCAACATGTTCCAGATGGCTTATCAATAGTAGAAAAGACTGTGAACCACTTTGTCAAAAACTGTAAAAGAAATGCCTGTCGACCTTGTACGGTGAGAGACCATGTGTCTCAGAAGTCTAAGTTAGAAGCAGTTTTTTTTCAGAGGACTGTCCTATTCGGTGGAGAAAAAAATCAATGACTTCCCCACAGGATGCGTGGGTAGAACTTTGTGAAAATAGAGCTTAACATTCTTCTTCTCTTCTCCAGAACCCTATTAGTGCTTAGTGAAATCTTTGAGAGCTTAATGATGATGATGATATTATAGAATTTCTGTGGTTGTTCTTGTTTTTATGATATTTTGTAATCAGATGCTCCCTTTCTTGTACTTTTGATTTATGCTGGCTCTTGTAGAACAACACTATTTTTTTGAAGTTATTTTATTCTCACAAAGGAATTTCTAAACCTAGAGAATCAAACTCATCGCTTCTTGGAATATCCTTCTTCCTCTGCCAATATTAATGGCCTTAGCAGAGCCCCAGCATGAGATTTGAACTAAACTGCCTTATCTAAATGAAGTAACTAAATCCGTGTTTATTTTTTGGACACACAGATCATAGGCCCACCAGGCCCTCCAGGTCCTCATGGCCCACCTGGCCCCATGGTAAGTTTCTCTTCTCTCCAAAATGTAATGGTTTATTTATGATCATGCTACTAGAGAAAACATGAGCACATCTCTCTGAACAGCCAGCCTGTATTTTGTATGACTCTCTGTGGGACGGACAGAAAATTCCAGGTGCTTTAAGATATGGTGACTTTACTGTGTTGTCTTTAACTCCTCCAAGCACATGTGTTAGGAAGAAAGTAGTTTTATGATAGGAAAGTTGAAGACAGACAGACCAACCTGGCAAGCATTACTCCAGCCTTATGGCATAGACATACAAGGAGATAAATTTACTTTTTTTATATCATGTGCATAATATCTTTTTTTGCCACTGCTTTCATCTGTTTGGAGCTGCTGAAGAATGTTTCTAATCAAAATTGAGCCTTGACACCCTTTGCTGAAATGTTCAATAAGAATATATATAAAATAGTACAATAATAATGGAAGTACCATAATGATAATTATCCAGAGATGACATAGACTGTTGGATTTTTTTTCCCCTTTCATGTTCATGGTGCTTGTGATGATTTATAGGCCCAGTGTCTATGGTAGTGTCCTTCAGTGACCAACAGACGCAAGTGGTCCTGACCTCATAGAACTAAAGAAGGCAGCCATTAAACAAGTGTGATTCTCTAAGTGCCAGACTAATGACAGTTGCGTTAAGGCTAGAGTGTGGAAGGCAGAGTGTTTCAAATGCTTTTGACAGGGGCAGGATGAGGTACACTCATCTCTAAAGTGTGTCAGTAAACCAGAAAACTTCAATAATACAGATTAATTTGTGGCCCTTCTTCTTTTATTGCTCTCTAAGAGAACATCTTTGGAATGATCCAAGACATGGAAGGTAGCTCAGTCATCCATTTCTTATTAATTTTTATTTTGTAAGAGAAAGCTACAACTGACCTTGTTTTCTTAAAATGAGTTTATTAAGAATTGAGCAAATAGCATAATTTTTGGCTTTTTTACTCTCCCTCAAGTTTTAAGCTACAAGGTTAAGTTAGAATATGCTACTTCCTGTTCATATGATAAAATTAATTGGCTTAAAGGAATTTTAACCTATTATTAAAATGAGATAAGAATACCTGATAAAGTGACAGTCATTTCCTGAAAACTTAACTAAAGGACAAATATTATTCTAATGTAGACATGTGTAACAAATATCTAGGCATTGCTTGATCAAAAATGTTTTCTGGTGTTTTATGATTTCACTGATGTATTTTTAAATGTTCCTTTCCACAAATAGTTTATTTAAGTTACTTGAAAAGCTTAAAGCAATCCCACAGTAAGCTTCCATTAATTTGATGATTAGCCTTTATATTTAGATTGCCATTTTAGAAAAAGCATGTATTTTGTGGACAATCTTTGCGTGCATTATGATTTCCTTCCATTAGTAAAGAATTGTTAGGGCTTTCGAGAATTCCTCCTTGTAAAAATAAATACAATATAAATAAAAATGCTCCTGATTTTTAAATTGTTGCTGCTACAGGGCCTCATACCCAGCTTGCTTCACCTTACTTCCTGTCTCCTTTAGATTCTTTAACACCTGAGTCTGTAGGAGTTAATGAGCACTGGTACTTAAAAGTAGATCTTTGACAAAGAGAATCCCACACTTTAAGTCCTACCTCTATAGACTTATGAAGTATCTCAAATATTCTACCTGACTAAAAAAATGGAAATTTGAGAAAGAGAAATAATGTTGAGTTTAAAATAGTTTATTTTTCTCTAATTTTTTTTCTTCCATGTAACTCCAGCACATTTCTCCCTCCCTCTCATAGACATTTAGCAGATAGGATTGCTATTAATGCATTTCCTATTACAGAGCAAAACAAGAACTGGAAGGACCTTTTGGTAGGTGACAAATAGCAACCACAGACCCACCTCTCACAATAGCTCAAACAAGAAAATTCTGGTTTTATAACTCTTGCTTCTTGATAAAATATTCACTTCTGTTGGGAAACAGTGAATCAATTCTTCATTAAAAGCCATGTTTTCCATTTATAGGGACCCCATGGACTTCCTGGACCAAAGGTAATCCAACACATTCCTTACTTGATTTCTGTTTTCTTTATTATCCGTGGGGGAAGCATGACGGAAGCATGTCTGTCCTGTCTTATTTATTTGTCAAGTAATTTTGATAATCCTTAAGCCTTTAAGCATTCAGATATTAATACAAAATGACTTATAACAAATTTAAGTGATATCACCTACAGTTAAATTATTCCTCATTTTATTTTTTCCTTGTTGCTAAGTAAAAGTTTCCTAAATTACTAATTGTTATATATTCGAATCAACTCCTTAGCAGACATCCAATGAGATTCTTAGACTGATCCAGGTGCTTTTTTCATCCCCTTCCTGGTGTCTCTAGCTGTAGGTTTGGTTGCTATTAATTGGAATGTCTTGCTTGCCATCACACAGGACTGCATCTTAATGCTTTGACTACCCAACATCTTAGTTCTGTGCTCTCCCAGAGGCCAGAATGGTGTAGAATGGGTTGGGGGTGCGCTGGCAGGTGCACACCACATCACTCATCACTCACCTGCCTTCTGTGTACTTTGTGTTAAAAGAGATCTGTCCTTGTCAGAATCAGTGCCGCTTCCATTGTGAAGATGTTATCTTCACATAGACATAGAGGACATCACAGAGGATGAAAATGAGCCCTGAAAGGGAAGCTCCTCCTTCCAGAGGGCATATGTGATGAGAACTTCTGTTCTAATCTCAGTTCTGCCACTGACACCTTGAGTAAATTACTGACTCTGTCTGATTTTTAAGTTATTCAACCAGATAACTTATCTCCTAGAGTTGTTGTGATGCTCTAATGAGGCTAATGATAAGACACTTAGCAAATATCTGGTTCAGTTGTTGATAAACACCTGATACATGGCATTTATTGTTACCTTGTAATTTGGTACTTTCTTCCAAACAGAAAAAAAAAAAATCTATAGCTTGTCCTCAAGGTTGCTAAACAGAAAGTTGGTAACTCCTGAAATTTTCTCATAGTGAGTCATTGCATTTAAAAGGTGGTGGAGATACATAAATGACATGTTGATGCTGGGCATCAGAAAGTCCAGAGACAGCCCTTTCTCTCCTCGGTAATCTGGCCTCTCTCATCCAATAGCCTCTCCCATCCAATACCAGTAGGTATTAGTCAAACTTAGGATGCCTTGATTTTCCTTTTGAGGTCAGGCAGGTGACACTGAAGAAGGGAAGGGGTTCACACCTCTTTCTTGTTAGAATGCCTTGCCTTCTGCTAAGGCCAGTGTCAGAGCCTCAGAGGTATGCAATAGAGTCTGGGGTGAAAGTACTTTTCTAGGGTCAGAAGGAGAGAGCCCATCTACTAGCTTGTGATCTTTGTAGTTAACTTCTCCGAGTCTTTTTTCTATCCTAGACCAAATCCATGATTCCCAGTCTTAGTTTCTACTTGGAATTGAAGGTGCCACCAAAGATCAGCCTAATGATAATGACCAACAGTAAAGCCATCAAGACTGTTTCTAGTTCCCAGAGTGATTCAGATATGCCAGCACCATTGAATGCCTAAGATCCTTTTAATATCTAAAATCCAATCGTTTTTTTTTCCTCCCATGATTTTATTTGTCATTTAAGTCAGATTTCAGATCATTATAAATTTGAAAAGATCTCATAGATGACCAGTACTAGTTCCTTGATTTTCTTGCTGATAATCTACAGGTCCAGAAAGTTTAGGTCATGCTAGTTAATGACAGATATGGGACTGGAATTGGGTCCAGACATGAAATTTTGTCTCTTTCAACTGGATTTGACCGTTTCTAAACTGACCTTCTCAATCATTGTCTGCTCCTGTCAATGCATGATATTCCACCGAGGAATTCCGTAGCCTCCTAGGGCTACCCTGCCTGTCCTTCATCTAAAGACCACTCGCTAATAGGGCACATACCTGCAGAGCCATAAGTTTAAACCAGTTGACTGAAATTGGCTAGCAAGCCTTTGCCTTAGTATCACACTGACTATGACTGTGGCATTCCCAGGATCAGACCTTACCAAACATAGCCCGTTTGAATTTCCTTTAGTGGCTGCACTGCAAACTCCTATCATCAAAATCCTGAAAATCCACCTTGCCACGCCAAGGCTTCCATGACTCTATGACCCCTTTGAAAGTTCAAATATCTAGCTAGCATGGTCCCACAGAACATCCTGGTGAGACGTTCACTTGGGAGGCTTATGAGAGAGACCCATTCTCTGCTCCTGTGGCCTGGGCAGGGCTCTGGACCACTTTATATTTGACAACCACCACACTGGTTTTCATTGTCAGGCAAATTGGGTAAACATTTGCCTAAGTCCCTTCTGCTAATGGGACCATAGCTCCTCCCACAGCCTGAAATCATCTTTCTTTCACAAGACTTTCAAGACTTCCTTGAAAACTTAATATCTATATTTAAAAGTTGAAAAGTGTTCCAGTCAGATCTTTGTGTTCATCTCTAACATGTGATTATTGATGGAAAATATAGGTATGCTAGATTTTAAATAAATTGTCAGGAGAATTTATCACTTAGCATGGCTTTTATAATGTCAGCCTGAGTTAAAATCATTGGGCAGATTCTAACATTGGGCAGATGGATGGTGAGTAGAACTACATTCACGTTCTTTGATCTTCATATTCTCCTCTGGGACTGGCAATTTGTTGTAGAGTATTGATTAATCTGTGTAGGAACCGACTTGGCAATGTCAGTAAAAGGAGAACTTGCTGAATGGCATTACTTCAAACATCAGCTGCTACATTTTTAGCTCATTCTCCTGGGCAAAATGCTTAAAGGCTTAAAATATCTGTCTATAACACTGTCCCGCAAATTCCAGTTTTCCATTCCAGCAGAGTGGGTTTTTCCTACTGGGCCTGCTTAAGCATCCTCCACTCTGTCTTTGATTTGCTTGATTAGAACAATGTAGTGTTCACATTGATTTCCTTGGGATGGAACTCAAAAATTCAGGGACTCAGTCATACAGCTTTTGACAGGAAGAAGCACAGTTTCTCAGGAGTTTTGCTTTCTAGAACATTATTTGTTGATTTCAGTTTATCTTTAAATTAATCTTTGAACAAATCAAGCCTGACTCTGCTGTTACATAAAACTGGAATCTGCAACAATTTCAGAGACTGGCTCTCTTCTGTCACATTTTAAACACCCATAATAGCAACCGAAATTAGCATTTGCTTTTGCATTTAGGGTGAACCAGGGTTAAATGGTGTTAAAGGATTGAAGGGTGAACCAGGTCAAAAGGGTGACAGAGGACCCCTTGGTCTTCCAGTAAGTAAAGAAAACTTTCCATTTCAGTGCAAATCTCAGATTTTTCTTTCTACCCTAAACAACAACTCTGGTTTACTTACCATTGAGATTTCTGGAATTAGAAAACATTATGTCAGAGCAGAGCTCAGCCTAGTTCTATTTTCTCCAGTGTTTCCTCTTGTGTTAGAGGAAGACCCCAAACAATGCTGTGGATGTTCTGTCATTCTTCAATTACATACATGCCAACCTTCCTCTTTCAGGGCTGACAGTTCTTCCCCCATCCTCCTCCTCCAAAAATGTTATGCTCATCATTCCACTAGTTCTCCCAAATGCTTTTATAATTGAGTGCAATATAAGATTTGCTATCAATTGTTTTTTTCTCCTTGGGTATCAAAAAACTGTAGCCCTCCTGGTGGCAGGTATGCAATTGGCCATTGTTGATGGCGAGAGGTCAGTGCTATGGCTCCTTGCATATCAATCACATCGTGTTCTACATGTTGTATGTTGTTTGTTTTGGAAATTCCCTGTTATGAGGGTCTTTATAGCAATGGTGGATAGTATGGGAGAAATAGCTTACAAGTGCTTAAAGATTTTTATTTTTAATGAAAAAGGGATTTTTCTCTTCATGCGCATTATGCCCCAACAGATTTTTCAAAAATCTATTATTGAATATGAGGCTTTAGTTTCAAGCTTTTAGCATGCTGTCTATTCAGCCAATGCCAAATCAGTAAAGAACATTGTAGAATACATTAGTGAGATATGACAAAATCAGTGATCGTAGTTTATCCTTGTATTTGAGATATTGGAGTTGGGATTAATGACCACTTATTTTTCCCATGGACCTTATGCTTTAAGCACTGGGTCCACTTGAGAGCCAGGATTTTATAGATAAGGCACAGGAGATTTTGTGTATGTATTCATTTATTGATTAAATGATAAAACCCTATATTAGAAATAGGTTAAGTTACACCAATTAGATCTGTGAACCATAGGCATAAAACCTCTAACATATGTAAGTCATTAATTCAGCATTCTAGGTAGATATCTCACACGTAAAATTATCATTTGGCCATTCATTTTGAAATGTTATAATAAAGCATCAAAGGGTAATAGAAACAAACTATTAACCTGATTTTTTTAGTTTTCTCCAGTTTCAAAATTTAGAGCTGTTGATAATTTTTATGCAATATCTAGCCAAAATCTCTGTGTCTGCTACCATTAAAAATGGCAATACACTTTTTTTTAAAACTGTAATTATTAATTATACTATGGTTCATAATAGAATCAACCTGAAGGAATTTTGAATTAAAATTCTAAAAATACCCCAAAAGTATGTTGTTTAGCTTCATTGGTGGGATTTTTCAGCTGAATAGATTCTTTTTATCTGAAACACAAAATTGGGAAGTAGTTCTGAGACCTTGACATAGCATGATCCTCCTAAATACTCTTGATCTTTAAGTACTATAAATAAATATTTGGGCATTGAAGCCTCATCAAATAAGTAATTGTACTTATTGAAACAAACATTGGAAATGTCACTTTTATTATCCTTCACTGTTTTTATGTAGCCTAGAGTTCAAGGTAAAGAATAGCATTCATTGCCTGGGAACAGATTTAGATCTTTAAGACATTTTTTTAAATTCAGGCTTTGATGAAAGATTTTTTGAAATGAATTGAGGAGCAATTTAGTTTGGGAATTATTTTTTGTCCTGGTCTCAAAGATTCCCCCACCACACCCTGCTCTTGAGTTGTTTTTTTTTTTTTTTTTCCCTGTTCTTAGAAGTCCCTCTAGTGGTCACTAACATGAACAGTAGGAACAATCTGGAATACAATTACTGTCATTCACATAAAATCCAGAGTCATCCTGGCACATTAAAACCCAGCATTGTTTGTCCACAAATACTATTTTAACAAGTGTAACTCAACCTCTCCTTTTTCCTCTGAAACACATACCTCGATTATTATAATGAGCCCTTCTTACAAGATTGCCACTTTTTTCCCTTCAGAACCTAAAGAAATATATTGTAAATGATTCAGTCTCTAGAAAATGAAGTTCAGATGGAATTTAGATAGAAGCTTCTTACTGGAACCAGTAACTACTTTGCAGTACACTTTGTAAACCTCATTAACTTGGTTTCTGTAAAAAGAATTTGCCTAATAGAAATGTCATTAAAAATGCCATCATCTGTGGGGTGTTTATTGTCACGTGGTTTGTTGTTGTTTTTTTTTTAACTAACAATTTGTAGCAATGTGATATTCATCCCAGAATCCCGTGACTGTGTATTATGTTGTTGAAGTGTTGCATTTGTTCATTGGCACCTCATACTAATCTCTGTTCTTGTCATTCGTGTTACACCCACCAACCCTGCTACCAACCAAATCATACAGGGAGCATCTGGCTTAGACGGAAAGCCAGGAGCCCGGGTGAGTCAGTCCCTGTCTTGCTCTGGCATGCTTTGTGGCTGTGAAACGTGCTTCAGGGCAGACCCCTTTGCTCCGTGTGCTCTCATCAGGCGATGAGGAGGGGTACTCAGGGGCTGGAGTCAAAGGGGAAGGTGGACAAACATGGTGGAAAATGGGAAAGGTAGAGAGTGGGTTGCAGCTGTGTTTTGAGATCCCATCTCAACTGCCAGGATATCTTTGAAATCTCAAGTTCAAAACTGGATAACTTCCTATGTGGGAAGAATGACCCATCCAATTGGCTTCATTATCTTAGTATCCCAGGTGGATTTTTCCATAACCAATAAAATATTCCCTATCATTCCATGAATGAGATCCTCTGAAGAGATTAAAGTAATATGAATTTATTTTAACTAGCTTTTCCTTTTAGGATTATGCCCATCTTAGAAATGTAACTTCTTCCTTGGAACTAACTTTCAAGTGTCTGTCCGTGGAATGATCCATCTGCCTTTTGTCATCTTGACTCTTTCTCTTTGGTTCTTAACAGCTCCATCTCTTAAATTTCAGCTGCAGATACTCAGTATTTCGAAATCTTCCAAAGATGAACTTCGAGTTGGGGCAGTAAAGATCATTTAAGATGATGAGAATTCATCAAAATTAGAATGAGTTTGAAACTTGGAATTCTCTCATATCACAAGGCTTTAACCGAATAAACCAGGACAATAGAGTAGAAATGGAAGTACTGTAGAAAAATTGTGCTGAAATAGTTTCCACATTTGCACATATTATAATAAATTATTTGCAAATCTATGCAGAATCTTCCAATTCTTGCCACGTTTTTAAGAATCTGAAAGAAATTCCAATATTTTCAGTTCTAAAAACTTGCTTTGGGCAGACATTGTTTTTCTGTGGACCCCAGTGTTCCTATAGTGATAGATCTCCTATCACAGAGATCCTGAACTAACCGGGAGGCAGAATTCAGTGGTGCCATTAATCACCGTGGCTCCTTGGTTTGTGACTTGAGAGCCTCGTGACTTCAGTCACTGAAGCAGAACCTAGAGGATCCCTATGAGCCCCTGCTATTCCCTACAGAGTAGCAAAAAAAAAAAAAAAAGTTAAATGCTGGTTTTTTTGTTTTTGTTTTTTAACATGAATCAGCATTGAAGCCTCCATGTGGCTGCAAACAAAGCTTCTTAGTGTGCTTGGCCAAGGGTGGCCATGAATGTGGAGAAAGGACTTGAAGAAGAGGTGACAGGAAGGAAAGACGGTTTCATTTTTCTTAGGATTATGGGGGCAAAGTGAAGAGGCTCCATTTAGTCAGTGAAATATGTAACTAAAAGTGATATATGGCTTTTTGTATGTACTCTTCATTGAATCATGCAGTTAATATAATTCATCCCTTTTGTATGAGTTTCATGAAAACCACTGGTCTGAAAGAATCCTGTATAAAGCACTTTGAAAGGAGATGAGTTGTCTTACAGACATCCTAAGACATCATTCACCAGAAAAGGTTCAGAATAAATCAGAGCTGCTTTTCTTGCAGTACTTGTGGTATGTCTCATTGTTTTATTTTTATCTTTTTTTTTTAGGGTACAGATGGTCCTATGGGACCTCATGGCCCTGCAGGCCCCAAAGGAGAAAGAGTAAGTTGTTCCCGAAGTTATTAAGCTTAAACTGTGTATTGAAGGAAACACAGAGCATGACTTTTCCATATTAGTTGAACTTGGACTGTTTATTTTCCAGAAGAAGTAAAGGGCTATCAAGTATTAAATGAAAATAGATAGCATCTTCAGTTCAGAGTCCTAACACTGAGAGAAGAAAACCACAGAGTATAAAATAGAATAGGGCTGTCTTAATAAAAACAATGCATACATTTACATAGCTAACATAAATAGCTCCAATTATTCTTCATCTACCCATAAGGAAGATATTTTCATTTGGCCTTCATCCAGAAAGTGGAAGTCAATGGACCTACAATTTCCAGGAGTACCTATGTATTCTGGTTGATAATCTTTAATATAAAGCTACTGTATTCATTCGGAATGTTATAACATTTTTTCCAAAGGAAATTACAAAACCCAAGTATTCTTCTCTGCAGTTATATGTGCCCCCCACCTTTTTTATAGCTAAAGAATGGCTTTTTTTTCTTTAGCCATAAGGAAATAATTTCTGTGCATTATAAAACAAAAATCTTTCACTAATCTCTCTATTGCTAGGCCATGTTTCCATATCCTTGGGGGCGGGGGGAGAAGACATTCAGAATGGAAGATAAATATCTGACACAAAAAAATGTACTGAAGCATCAGCAGCTGATCATCTATCTGGAACTTTTCTCCCTTTTTCATTTCCTCACCTTGGAAAACTGTGTGTGTGTGTGTGTGTGTGTGTGTGTGTGTGTGTGTATCTTAATAGGTTTGTATCATTAATTTCTGTATCATCCAGCAAGGATATAACAAAAGCATCTTAAAAGTGAAGGCCTCAATATGTTAGAATGATTCACTGTGTAAGTTTGTGCTCTTATAAAAACTTGATCATTTTCACCAATCTGGAATAATTTACTTTTAAAAAAAAGAGAGCCAGGTAGTGATTTCTTTGACATACCTTCCAATTCTCCAATTCTACCTTCTATAAAAGGAATTCATTCATGTGATAAATATTTATAAAATGTTACTATGTGCGAAGCATAGTATGACTTCTAGTGTTAAATGGAAACACTCTTCTACTTATAGAAAGCCTACTTTGCTAATTTGCTCCAGTACATTGAATAATATCATTATAATTAATTCATCATCCCATAGTCTTTTATTAGAACTTATATATACATACTTAGTGCTGGAGAGGTAACAGCTATTTTCCTTGAGCTAGAAGAGTTTGCAATCAAATTGCAGAGGTGGAAAAAATGTATGCAAGAACTAACCAGAGGAAGAGGCCAAAATTAATAGTACAGGATGCACGTGTGGTGTTGAAGGCTGACTTTATCCAAGACTGGTTCTAGATGGAGATGAGTCCTAAAGGAATATATGATCTGAAGCTGCTGTTGTCTTATTTCCAAGATCAAACCAACAACTTCTGAAGATCTCCTTAATTAAAAATATTCAAAAGCTAAGAGCCTCCACAATAATGATGTAGATTCACTTTCAAGCATCATATGAAGAAACCCAGCCCTGGTACTAAAATTGGAGCAGCAAATCTCAAGCAGTCTTTGGCAGAATGCCCTGGGGCTCAAGAGGGTTTACCGTTTGGTCAATCAGCTGCTACTTCCGATAGCTCCACAGTGTCACAAGAGTATCAGGTCTCAGTGCTGGGGCAGAATTAACCAGAAGAGCAAATGAAGTCGCTAAGAATTTTTGAAGGCATAGTTTAAGTCAGATGGCGTGCAGTGTGAAGTGTTACACTTGTATTTACTCAGCACGTTAACTATCCTGACTGGATCAGGTATCAGTACTCTCCAAGTGCCCCTCACCCAAAGTGCCAAACTGGAGTGCAGTTCTCACAGTTAATTGGGGTGCCATCTGGATTCTCATAGAAAAAAAAATTCAAGTTTTAAAGAGGTAAGAATCAACAAGGCAAGGCATCCTGGAACCAATTCTCAGTGTAGACATGCAAAGTAAAGACCATAAATGAAATTCGACCAGCCTAAAAGAAATTAGACCCTTGGCAGGTATGGTTACTCAAAATGTCTGCAATATGACTGACAGCATTAGTATTCAGCTTCGTAGACTCCGGGGTGCTCCCTGACCTTGGCTGATTTCTTCATCCTAGGTAAACTGCTTCAGAACTCTATAGGATGTTGGGTTTGAGAGTTCAACAGATCTTTGGGAATTATCTAATCCAGGAAAAGAAGTTACCCATTCAAATTACTGGGTGACTGTCTCATTCCTAAAAGTATTCAAGACGGGACCATTATGATATTTTTGACTCAAAGGGACAGCACTTACACTCAACATGGCTTAAATGAGAAAGAGATATACTGGTTCATATAGCAAAATAGTTGAAGGAGGATTCTGGCTTTGCCTCAGGGCTCATCTTCTGCCAGCAAGAACATTGGGAGCAACAGTCCCAAGCGTCCCAAGGTGAGATGGGCAGAGAACAGATAATGATCCTTAGAAAAGAAGACACCTTCCCCAGACTTTCAGCTGATGGACTGCCCCCAGTGCCTCATTGGTCAGCAACAAATCATATGTCCACTTTCAAAGAAGTCACTTGCCAGAGAAAGAAAAGTGCCTTGTTAACTTAAAGTCATTATTTGGGGAGGGCTAGTTGAGAATAGGAATTCTGCCAGCAGATGTTTTAATGACAGCTTTATTCAAATAAGCCCATAATACATTCATTTCAAAAAAACAAAAAACAAAGCCAAGTTTCTCGTTGGAAGAAGGGGAAGGCCCTGGTAATATCAAAATCTATAATCTGCATCTATTTCAAGCTAGACCTACTCCAGTGTCCATGATCCCTTTTAAAACTCCCATCTTTCACCACACATAGACCACTGTTTTAAAAAATCATGAGTAAAATTGTCAGATCAAAATGAAGGACACTGATTTTGAATCGATGCTCTTCAGGTTGTCAAACCCTATCCATGAAAAACATCATCTCTAATTGTATACTACCAATAACAACTCCCATTTATAGTATATACTTTGTATATACTATTTGCCACCATATAATTTTAATATTACTGTCACCTTTAATCTTTAGAACAGTTCTTGCAAAATGTGCATTATTCTTCTTCCTTTATGGCACAGAAAGTTCTAAAAGTCGCTGGAGGCCACACAAAGTTCCAGAAGTAGAATTCACATTTAAATCTGTGTCATTTAAAGCCGGGCTACTTTACTGAGCCTAACTGCTGCTGCTTCAGAAATAAAGTAATAATGAGTTCAATAAGTTTTTATTGTCTTCAGTAATAAGACAATATTTTGTGCCTCTACGTAACAGTGCTTGTTAGCTTCACCAAACCCTTAAATTTAGGTTCAGGAAGAATGAGTTGCATATAGATCTGGAGGGTAGAAAACAGTTATGCCATGTCCCTTTGCAGGTAAAATCAGCTGAATCTGGATTTTTTTTTTCTTTTTTGGTACTGGAGATTGAATTCAGGAGCACGGAACCACTGAGCCACATCCCCAGTCCTATATTATATTTTACTTAGAGCCAGGGTCTCACTGAGTTGCTTAGTGCCTCGCTTTTTCTGAGGCTGGCTTTGAACTCACGATCCTCCTGCCTCCGCCACCTGAGCCACTGGGATTACAGGTGTCTGGCACTGTGCCCAGCTGAACTTGGCTATTTACCCATGAAAAATGGTTTGCTGAACTTTAAACTTCTTCACAAGTGTGATAAAAGGTAATATTTTCTGTTAGGCTACTCATGTTAACATCCCTACCTCCTGAATTTTTCATGCTAAATACTAAAAAACATTTTAATTTGGAGAGAAAAACACTATTTGAAATGAGGACTATCTCTGTAATCACAATTATTTCTATTCATAGAATAACCTTCAGTAACTTATTTTTTATAAGAATCCAAGGTTGTCATTTAAGCCAGGGCGAGTCTATGAAGTAGAAGAGACAGTGAAGAAGACAATGTCTACCTGAGCTAGCATTTAATAGAAACATAAAACCTTTTAAACATCTTTTTTTAAAGAAATCAAAACATGTATGCCATTATATTGACCCAACTTGGTTCATTCATTCAACAAATATTACTTATGTGCTGGATGTTGTATGGAAGGACGAGAGGGTCCTGAAACCCTGAGGAGCTTATTCTAGTGAAGGGAGCAGAGAATAAATATTGGGTGAGTGTCTCCCAGGGAGTAAGGGCCATGAAGTAAAACACAGCTGGGTAAGAGAAGAAGATGGTCAAAAGTTTCTCTGAACAAGAGAGATTTAATAAGGGGAGAAGTATTTCATTACATTCCTTAAAATGTAGTACAAGTGAAGCATCTCTAATCCAAAAATTGAAAATTCAAGACTTCTCCAAAACCCTGAACTTTTTGAGCACAGATACAATGCCACAGTGGAAAAAAAAAAATCCCACCCCTGATCTCATCTGAGGAGTCACAGTCCAAGTACAGGTATACTAAAAATACTATCTCAAATTACTGTGGGCTATGTGCATAAGGTATATATGAAAGAAATGAATTCTGTATTTCGGCTGGTCCCACCTCAAGATACCTCATCATGTCTATGCAAATATCCCAAAATCTGAAAGCCAATCCACCCATTGGTCCCAAGAATTTTAGATAATGGATACTCAGCCTATAATTTTAAGTAGTAACCAATGTTTCACAATAATGCTGAAGAAACCCAAGCATAGCATCATCACTAGGCAAACCCTTAGCACCACTGGGCAGCAGCAGTCTCTTTCTGTACTACTTTCAAAGGTCATTTTGTAAAATATGCCATGGTGGATTACTTTCCCTGTCACTGGCAGTAATCCTGTAGGAACCTGAATCTTTGAAATTTTGGTAGGATCGTACGTTAGATTGAGGCTTTGTACATAGACCTTAAGAGAACGTGTGGGGATAAAGGTGTGCATGTGTGATTTGGACTTTCTGCTTTGTGTTTCAGGGGGAAAAGGGAGCTATGGGAGAACCTGGACCCAGAGGACCGTACGGCCTGCCTGTGAGTTCAGTGTGCACCGCCTTCTGCATGACTGACTTGTCACTGACACAGTTAACCCTCCCCTTGTGGGGCAGACTAATCACATTAAAAAAGCAAAACCACTCCACTAATTACATAAATAGAGATAATTCCGTGTTCTTCACAGCAAGGTCACATTTGTCTCACACCCTCTCATCCTGTATAGACACACACCATGCATTTCACAAGACTCAAGGGCTCAGACTGTCCGTAGGATGAATACTGCTGACCTGAAAGCAGGATTCCAACTGTCAGATAACGCCCTCCCTGTGCCACCTGACTGGATGCTCCTAACTGCCACCTCCTTGAAAGGTCGCTTTCTGAAAGCAGGTGTGGAAGTTTCATGGACAATGATCTTCTTCACACTTTATTTTTATAGGTTATTGATTAAAAGCACTCTTGCTAGTAAAGATGATCCTTGAAAATAAATTGGTATTTATCGTGACCTGGACATTTGTGATCGAAGTTACTAAGGACAAATGGTCTTCAGAGCATAGAAGGTTGATAGTGTTCTATTACCAGAAAATTCACAGAATCCAATTGAGACCTCGGGTTTACTTTTTTGCAGTAATTAGAATTAATTCAGCAGGGTGGGGCAATGAAGCAGCATATATTGTTTCAAGGTTTTTAACCCTCCCCGTACCTTCCACATAGTTTTGGTGAACTGAAATAATAACCTATGATTATTTCAGATACTGAATTTGAGATAGATGTCAAAATCTGATTAGTGGAATCATACCAGCTTCTGGGAACTTTGGGTGGATCCACAGAGGGACACACCAGGGTTGTCACCAAGAGAGCGAATTTCTCAACTTTGCATTTAAGAGTCTGATGACTCCTTTTATACTTGGGAATCATTCATTTGCAAAGCTTGCTTAAAAACAGTTTAAGTTGTGACTTTTACACTGTTAACATTCATACAGAAGGTGTACATTTGGCGCACATTAGAACTATTTTAACAATAAGAAGATTTCACATTCTTCACCCATTGAGTTAACTACTAAGTTAGCAAATTAAAGTAGCATTGATTCTCATCCTCTAATAGTGCTGGCATGCCTTGAAATCAACTAAACAGTATTTTTGCTTTTGACTTCACTCTTGAACTGATAGCTTGATAGCACTCCTTAAACTTTAGCAAAATTCCAATCTATTTAACCCAGTATAAAATCAGAAAGAGACTTTCATGGCCCTTAACTGCAACACTAACAATCACTTTCCTTGATTTGAACAGATTTGTATTACTAATCAATAGAGAATCCTTTTCCCATTCCAGAAATAATTGTTCTAATATAAGTGGTTGCATGTCCAGGCAGCCTTAAGTAAAACAATAACCTATTCATGAAACTTAGGAACACTAATGTAGCTACTATGGTTCTTTGGCAGGGGAAAGATGGAGAGCCTGGTCTTGATGTAAGTAATACAGACAACAAACATCTATCTCCCTATGATAATAGATGCTGATGGTCTCCATCATCAAGGATAGCAAGAATACTTATTTTTTCTGTGCATATAACTATGCATAGAGCATATATTGCTGTGCACGTGGACAGCAATATAGAATACACTAGTGTTTGCATGAGATAAACAAAGGCAAATACAATTGCCTGGTATAAAATGAATAATAGATAGTATATAGTGACACTTCACCATATATTCCCAATTTAGGGTACTCAACATCAGCATGACCCATTTATGGAAAAAAAATATGCATAAAAATCAATACACCTCTCCCATGCTACCCTTATGGAATAATATGCTTATTCTCACAGCTGTCATGCAATATTTTTTCCTCTTAGCTTTAAGTACCTATTTATTATTTTTCTCAGATGGTAACATAATTTTATAAAAGTAGAGAATGTCAAAAAGTAAGTGCTTCTAGAAATGATTAGTGTTTATCCTTATTATGTGAATAAATACAATAGCAAAAGTTATCATGACTGCTTATTGAGCACCTGATATATGCAGGCATCATTCTGGTACTTTGCATATATCATCTCATTTAACATTCACAACAGCCATGTGACAGGTAGTCATTAATCCTTTTTACAGTCAAAGGAATAAAGAGCAGATGTATGTGATTTGCCCAAACTTACACTAATTAGTGAACTTGCCAGGATCTGAATGACTATGCCAATATTCTTTCCATGCTAAATTTTTTAAATACTTTTTGAATTTGTTTTTATTAGTTATACATGACAGTAGAATGTATTCTGACATATAATACATATATGGAGTATAACTTTATTCTTCTGGTTGTACAAGATGTAGAATTACATTGGTCATGTAATCATATATGCACATATGATAGTAAGGTCCAATTCATTTTACTCTCTTTCCTATTCCCATTCCCCCTCCCATCCTTCATTCTCCTTTGTCTAATCTAAAGTAGTTCTGTTCTTCCCCACCATTTATTGTGAGTTAGCATCTGCATATCAGAGAAAACATTTGGCCTTTGGTTTTTTGGGATTAGCTTATTTCACTTAGCATGATATTCTCTAGTTCCATCCATTTACTGGCAAATGACATAAATTCATTATTTTTTATAGCTGAGTACTATTCCATTGTGTATATATACTATATTTTCCTTCTCCATTCATCTGTTGAAGGTTCCATACCTTAGCTGTTGTGAAGTGAGCTGCTATAAACATTGATGTGGCTGAATCACTGTAATATGCTGACTTTAAGTCCTTTGGGTATAAACTGAAGAGTGGGATAACTGGGTCAAATGGTGTTTCCATTCCAAGTGTTCCTAAGGAATCTCCATACTGCTTTCCAGAGTGGTTTCACCAATTTGTAGTCGCATCAGAAATGTATGAATGTGCCTTTTTCCCCACATCATCATTTTGCATCTCTAGCAATTAGAGAAATGCAAATTAAAACTATACTGCGATTTCATTTCTCTCCAGTCAGAATGGAAATTATTATGCTACATTTCTTAGGAGAAGAAGCAAGAAACCTGTTGTGTACAGATAGAAATAATATATTTCTAGCATCTAAGTGTTATTTGATCTAAGTTGTTAGATTGTTAGGTCATTTTTTTTTTTTTGCTATTTTTAGTTCAGATTAATGAATCCTAAAATGTTTATTTCCCACAATGTGATTTTTACCACTGTTACACCAATAGACCTCTTGGATTTGCTTTTTTGTCCTCCAGGGTTTCCCTGGTCCACGAGGCGAGAAGGGTGACCTGGGAGAAAAGGGAGAAAAGGTGACCTGTCCCTCCCCACCCGTGTCTTGTGTGATTCTGCTCCTGCTGCTGTCTGCTTTGCCACTCCGCCTGTATGACTCCATCAGCCGCTTCCTCCAACTCAGTCCTGTGCTCCAAAAACACACTGAGGCCTGATCTAAGAAATCAGGTTTTCAAAGAGGAATAAGGAAGTCTACTCAGCCAGAAATGAGGGCACTGTCTAGCACAGAAGAAAAAAAAAAATCTAATCCCCAGATAGCCAAGCTATAATCTTTCAACTACCTGACACCAAGTTTGAAAAATGTCCAGGGGGTTTTGAATTTTTCTGTTTCATAAAAATAAAATTACATAGCACAAACCTGCAATGGTATTTTGGCTGAGCCCATATAACCCTGTAAAGCCAGCATCTCATTTGTCTTTATGACATTCCCAGGAAATAGACATGTTGTGTATCTTGAATTTTTTTTTATTCAAAAAACAGGACAAGCCGTGTGATGGATAAACCACAGTTAAGTCCATTACACAGAGACCAGGACTTGCCACTGTCAGATTCAGAGCTGATGGCTGTGGCTTTTGAAAATGAGGATATTGGTGTATTTTATGAGGTGAGCATGGAGGCTCTATCTCAGGACCATCAGCTCAAGTTTATAGGGGCCACTACCAAGCAGGACAGTTTATGATGGAAAGAAAAGTTTGGATTAAGGATTATAAAAACCCTCTTTTCTTTCCTCTCCTTCCTTCTTTCCCTGTCTGTACTTGACTTGAATCTTTGACCTGATTTGATCTAAGAATGGTTGACATCAGACAAAGCATTATCTGTATTATTAAAGTAACTGGAATTAGGCTTTCACAATCCGAATTTAAAGGAATTCTGCTTCTGTGATTAATTCACTCTGATTAATTCTGTTATTCTATTTAACACATTGTTTCCAAACCCCAGTGGGTTCTCTTGAACTGTAAAGTTCACAGCTGCTGGAAAGCAAGGCCAAATGAGATTTGTCACAGAAAGAAGGATCCACAGAAGGCTGTGCACGCTTTAGTCCTTAAGCACCCATCAGCCTTCTATTGGTAAGAGATGCCATGCAGTGGCATCCAGAGCACCGTTGTCACATGCACTGAGCACTCAGGTGCTCTACCTGTGACCAGCCTTTTAGTCCTCATAGAACACCCTGAGAATGGTGCTCTTATTTCCCATTTCACAGACAAGGAAACTGAGACCAAAAAAGTTATTTGACTCTGCATTACAAATGCCAACTATAATGTTTTGAGATAAATTGTGCATGAAAACTGTCAGCACAAGGTGGTTTTAAAGATTTTATGTATGTATTCTGTATTTACCTAATGTGTTGTATGAGCCCCAAATCTTATTCACTCAAGATATGTCACTCAATTTTTTGATCCTTTAAATAAGTAAGAGATTTTCAGTGTTGGGCTGGGGATGTAGCTCATTGTTAGAGAGCTTGAATAGCATGCTTGAGATCCTGGGGTCCATCCCCAACACCACAAAAGAAAGAAATTACCTATGTGATAGATTATGAAAGCATAAAGCTACAGAATATTAATCACCCATGCAAACATATTTCTATGTACAGATTCCATGATTAGAAGTTTTATACTTAGGAAAATTAGATTCTAAATGTGAACATTTATGAATATCATACTTTGACATGAGGAATAAAAAATTACCAAGTGCTTACCATATGCTTATCTCCACAATGAGATACATAATTCAAATCACTGTTGTGCATAATTCCTTGTATAATAGTGTCTCTTTTCCATAGAGCTTGATATTTGCTAAAATATTAATTAAAAAATTAACCTCCTAGCCTACCACAACAACAATCCTGACAACTCTTTTGAGTGGTTAATCTGAGCTAATTTACCAATCAAATAGAACTGAGTTCTAAACTAACACCCAACACACCTGGTCTCAGTCACACCTACTTGAAGAGGAGTCCATTGCTTTCTGGGAGGAAAGAGCTCATGCAAACAAGCTTAAATCAATTTTATGCTGTGACATTCAAGTAATTTGCTAAGGAGCAACACCTTACTTCCAAATGCCCCTCCCATCTGACTTCCTATCACCCCAGCTCCATCTCACTCTGCCTTTCATGACTTTTTCTCTTATCCCGATCAACCAAACACAACGCTTTGCTCTCTTTCCCAAGATTCAAGAAACCCAAATGTTTTTGATTCTGCATCTTCTGATGCAATCTTTTTGGCACACAGGAGATGAATGAGGAGTTTTCACTTGGTCTGTCAGAATGAATGTATTAATTTGAATGCATATCTCATGTTTCTGTTCTGTGGATGTCTCTTCACCTTTGAATATTCATGTTGTTTTGCTTCAGAGATTATTCAGTTTTATTGCAACTGCCATCCTGATTGCAGAATGAATATACTAATTTAAATACGTATTGTATTTTGTATTCTGTTGAGCACCAATTCTGTCCATAAATATACAGATGTTTATGTTAATGTGAAACAGCTGAGGTGCATTCCTTCCTTCTCCTCCTTTTGCCTCCTTTCCTTAATTCCTCCATTCCTGTGATCCATGCAGATTTCCCACAACCTTTACCTTGATTCCTAAATACTAATTTCCATGGCTACATTCCCACTATGTAATTATCCTGCCTCCCTCATTTTTACCAAGTTCAAACTAGTTTTCCTCCATCAAACAGAATTTGGGGGTCTTTCATTACCTTGCAATTAAGCTGGAAACTCATTTACCATTGTGAATATCTAGTATGAGATCAGTGAAAATTAAAGAAGACCCCTAGGTTTACAGAAACTTGTTTCTACAATTGGCATCCGTGCAAAGTATTAGTACTTTGAACATTTGTTTACCTGGCTTAATAAAAGTCTTTGTTTTGGTTTTCTTTAAAAAAAAAAAAAAAAAGCTTAAAAGAAATAGAAGTATATTTTTAATACATTGATTTTTTGATCAGAGATTCAGAAAATAAGATTGGATACATTTCAACAAGGTAGAAGCTACTGATATTTTTTTTTTCCTTTTTCTCTGGCTCAATGCAGCTTTTAACTGTTAGAGGATTTGAAAGGAAGAAAGTTGACAGGTATTGAAAATGGGGTGCAGTATCCATTATTCCCCTGAACTCTACCTACCCCACTAGCTTCAATACAATTGGTATCTGTCATCCTCGATAGATCCATGGCACAAACCTCTAATTCACAATGACTGTGGCATGGTGGTGGGAGTTGGCACTGATCTGCCTTGCTGATATGTGAGCCTTTTGGGTCTCCTGCCATCTTTTGAGTTATCTTAAAATCCCACAGACTGTTTCCCGGAGACCACTGTCGCTCTCCAGGTATGTTATGTATTATAATATGCTTTATCTAAACCAGAAAACAGTGGTAAATGCCCTTCCAGATTTTTCTTGGCTAAGCCATACTTTGAATCACCTTTACTTCCCTCCCAAATAAAACCTGTCTTTTATTTAAACCCTTGTATCCACAGGGGGAAAAGGGAAAGAAAGGCAAAAAGGGGCCTAAAGGGGAGAAAGGAGAACAGGGTGCTCCTGGATTAGATGCACCCTGCCCGTTGGTATGTCTGACTCATGAACTGTCTCCAGGTGGCTTGTGTGAGGGGATGACACGGGAGAAGAGCAAGCTGGAGGGACCCGTAGCCTCATTTAACATGGACTTTTAGATGCTAAGAAGCATCTCAGACCATCTTGGTATGTTCCCACATCTTGTCTCTGGCCACAAGCTCTACGTGACTTCTTTAATCTCAAGTATTGCTTGTACAGCTGGAATCTGACTATAGGCTCTGAAGAGGAGCCTGTGCTATTGCTCACCCCTCAGGAGAGAAGGTCACTGTTTTAAGACGAGCCCTTGTTATGGGACTATGCCCAGTGCCATGTTACTTTGTTCAACTTCCCTGGGTGTTACTTTTCCCTTCCAGGCTGCTGCTCTCCCGGGCTTTTATTGTACTAGTTATTTCTTTAGCAGAATCTGTGCTTAAGTGAATTCTTGCGTTAGTAACATTATGAGTTAATCTTCACAAACAGGGATTCCGAGGCGTTAAGGGGGAAAAAGGGGAGCCAGGCCAGCCTGGCCTGGATGGGCTGGATGCCCCTTGCCAATTGGTACAGTATTTCTCTTTCCTACCACCCTGCATGCAGTTCCTTTGTTGATTACGTATTCATCTCTATCAGTGTAAAGTGGTTCTTTCTGGAGCAAGCTTTACATGATAAACATACTACATGCATGTGCATGAACAGGCTCCTTCTGAAACTGCAGAGGGAAGAGCAAAGCATGAGTTATCAGTGAATGCAAATTAATCTCACCACTGACATGACTACCGTATCTGTGTTCTTTGAAATATTAATTTATTTGATAAATATTTAAAGATTAAGTTAGATAAAAATATTTGATGCAGAGGGCACTGTTAGGCCATAACTTCTGCTTTACCCCTCATTTTAACTTTTTCTTTTTCTCTAAAAGAAATGAAGATATTTTTTGTCTCTTCCACAAAATTTTTATCAGGCCATAAAGAAAACCAAACTATAGAATTAAAGCTTCTATGGTCAAGAGTTAACCAATTTGAGGGAATGCAGTTATGAGACCATGTGGAAGAAACCCAAACTTCTGAGATTACAAAGATAATAGTCTGCAGCCCAAACCCTCTTCTTTGTCACGTAACCTTTTCAACTTAATGGTCTCTCCTTTTGAAACTCACTTTCCTAAAGTAGACAGAACTCCCTTCTCTCCATTGGCATGAACTCAAAATCTTCCTTATACTAAAATCTAAAATTCTACTGGTTTATCCTTCTCCTTGTACCAATCTGGCATTACCAATTTTTCCCAAATATTTTATAAAGCTATTTCAACATTTTTATACCTTTAGACAATAAGAATATATTTTTGTAAAGTAAAAAGAAAAAAAAATGTATGGTTATGTTATTCTTGATCTGCATGTTCTTATGAGTCTTCGGTTCTAAGCATGATTCTTTAAAGGTAAATTCATGTTTCTCAAGCCTTTTAAGAGGTTGTATGAATAGAAAACAAAGTTATTTGGGCAATAATTCCAGTTATAAAATCTCAATATGAAGTGTCTAGTCTTATTTTGTTTGCTTGGTATTGATAAGTTGTATTTTATAACCACTTTATTGTAGAAAAATATGAGCATGCCTTCATACTATGTCAACTTTTCCTGTCTCATTGATATCATTTGTATCTGAAGAATGCTGACGCTTTAAGTTATAATAAATTTTGCAACATTTAGGAACCCCATCTCTTATTCAGAATGTTAACTGACTTCTGAAGAATTTAAATAGAGAAATAGATGAATGCCATAGATAACACTTTACTATAAAATCTACCTCGTGGCTGCCTGTCTTGCAATTATGTCTTGCAATATCTTCTTTCAGTACAGGAATATGAAAAGTTATTGACGTGAAGAGCTATAAACTTCAGATAGAAATGGTTTATCGTTGATTATTTACCATTATCATGAATTATTATCGTTATCATGGTCCATACTGACCAGAAAGAGAAGTTGTTTTTTTTTTTTTGGTCTACTTAATAAAGATAATTGTGAATGTCTTTAAATGAAATGAGGAGATATAATACAGATTTCTTATCAAAAGATATAAACTGAATAAATCCTAAGACCACCATGATTTGTAAATTGCTTCTCCAACATTAGGCATAGCTTTTTCTGTAATTTATATATTTTTAAAACATGTTCTCACTGGAAAAAAAATTTGTATTATCTTCCTTTTAATTGATACTGGGTAATATATAGGGAGATAGTTATTAGTAAAAGATGGCTATGACTAAAGCCACCTAACAGATAGAAAGCTTTTTTTTTTTTAAGCCTGTGGGCATGTGAACTATGAAGTTTGATCATTTTTGAAGAGTCTGAGGAATTCTTTTTCTTTTTAAAACAGGGCCCAGATGGATTACCCATGCCTGGCTGTTGGCAAAAGGTAGGTGTCATGGAATGATTTCTAAAGGAAGTACTCTCCTTTCTCTTGACCTGGCCTGGCCCTTTTCATTCAGAACAGATCTTTTGCATTTGACACTCATGAATGATTCCGGCTTCACAATATCTTGATGAATATACTTATTACCTATTTCCTTGTAAGCTGATGTGTGAAAACAGTTCTTCACAAACATCATGATTTGAAACCTTCCCGACTTGATCCTTTGTTTGGAATGGAAAGGGGCAGTGGGTCTTAATGGTTTGCTGGTCAAATTCTTTGTTCTCTACTGTTGAGCATAATCTCCAATGGTGATTCTTTTTCTACTTATATTTAGTTACTTAGACCAATGTGACAATATATGGTAGAACCCTGTCAATATTAGTCACAAAGCTGGGAAAGCAGAAAATATACACTATTTTTTTCAGTGATGCCTTGATTTATCTAGGAGAACCTGATTCAATTGGCACCTTCCTGGCACATCAGCTTATTCTAGCCTTTTCATGTAGCTGCCTTTAGTCACTGCATACTCGTGTCCTATATAGAGGGACCATGTCCTATATAGAGGATGTTCTGTGTGCAATGGCTGTGCCATAGGCACTTTCACACGGGGGGAAATCATTTCATTTAATCCATGCAGTAACCTACTAATGAAACAGATTTAGAGAGGTGAAGGAACTTCTCAGAGCACAGAGCTGGTATGTCTAGCTCTCCACACACAGAACTTGGAGGCTGGAGGGTAGAAAACAACAGCAAAACCTGAAGCCAAAAAAGAGCAGCATATGCTGTGCTTCTCGGAAAATACCTAGTCTTCACCTAGTAATTGTGTGAACTCAGTTATAAAGGATGGTGTGCTACTGAAGGACCGAGGGAGCCCATTAAAGTGAAAATGATCTTGGTGCAGTATAAGAGCTGCTTTGATCTTTTTTAGATTTTTCTCCAACACTTTATAGCTCAGTTCGTATTTTGGGACAGGCATGCTTCATTGACAAAATCATGTACAATTACAAAACAAAAATTGGCAAAATTATGTAAAAAAAATCTTAAATTAGATAACATTGGAAAAATTATATAAGTTAACAAAACTATGTAGGATTACAGAAACAGGAGGAGACACTTGACTCTTGGTTGGCTCTCCTGTTAGCAGTTCCACCACTGAGAAAACCTGTGCACTGTCTTAGAGGATTTCACCTACTTGGCCAGGGAAAGAAAAAACCTCTCAATAGTGTCATTTATTTAGTAGCTTCTCATACTCCACTTTCATCCTGTCAGATAATTAGTGGGATCACTTCTGAGGTCGGGTGGGTCTCAGGACATGGACCTCTTCTTCACCTAAGAAATCTATCCTCTGGCCACCAAAAGCCCTGTTCACACAATCGGCAATACCATCCTGTGCTGGAATCACTATTTGCTTTCTAACCTTTGCCCTGTAATCTAATAATATAATGATTTTTTAATCCAGTCATTAGTACACTTAGAGGGAGAGGCATCGGTTTATTCTACCCTCTTCATGCGGCTGCCCTTAGTCACTATGTGTGCATGCAAACCGATTTCTTTATCCAGCTTCACAGTCCGGGGTCACTATTGGTTTGTGGCTGTCTTTTGAAGCCCTTCCTTTCTTGTGAAGGCACAAAGTATAATGGCAAGAGGCGAAGGCCTCATCATCATTTGGGGTTCATGAAATGAAACACGTGCTAATAAGATGACTGGTATTGGAAAATCAGAAGTCTCCCTGGGAAAAACTCATTTTTCCATAAGACACTGACTATATCCTACATCCGATTAAGAATTTTATTAATCTATTACACAAAGAAAACAAAATCTCAGTGAAAAAAACTTCAGTATTGCTTAACTCCCCACCCCAAAACATACTGGTGCAAGCCACTTTGACCAACCTCCTTCAACCCTCCCCACCAAAAAGAAAAAAATTAGAAAAGTGGAATGTTCTCAAATTTCTTATGTGGTTAACTCAGCTATCTCAAATAGTCAAGTCCAATAATTTTTAAGTGATATTTTAAAAATAAGTCCAGTCGAGGATGTTCACCAAGTCCTGTTTTCTGTGGACCACTCTCATAAACACTGTTGTGCTTATTAGACTGTAAACACACTGGCAAATGTCTGTGTGACTTAAAATTCAGATTGTGGCAGCAGTGTAAATCACTGTGCCTAACAAGTTTTCTTGGCATGCCACATTTAGTGTTTTTTCATGCAGAACTATTTGATCTTTGCTCAAATTGCTTTTCTTTCTGGATATAGTTCAGTTTTCTAAATTTGTCAACACAGAAAGAGTTGCTAAGCTAGAACTGCAGTACAATGCATTAGTCCAAGTGTTATTTGTATAGTGAGTAAATAGCAGAATGTATTAAGAGGCTATTAAGCTTATCATCATCCATCATCATTCATAGGTTGGAAACTACTCACTAGGAGAAATACCTCTAGCCCTGTGCTTCATCTGATTTAATACTTCACTGAACTTAACTTTTCCAGGTAGGGCTAACAGAATCTTTTTAACACCAAGTAAGAGATTTTTTTTTTTTTTAAGTGGTTTTTTACCCTGTGAAAAAAAAAAAAGAATCTTTAAATTCTGTAAATTATTTGCAATACATTGGTTTTGGTACCCAAACTTGCATCAAATTTGAAATCTGAGAAAAGTGAGTTTGGAGAAAAGAATGCTTCCTACAGACAGAGTTTTGGGTATTGATAGGATGGTGTGCATAAGCAGAGTGAATAGCATCTCTCAAAGACAGAGAGCACACAACCTGCTACGCACACCTAGTAGAGCATGGGTGTTTCTTAGAAAAGCAAATGTTGTTAATGAATAAGCTGAAAGATGCCTCATGCCTGTGGAGCTGCATGAAGAGACTGCCATCATTTCACACTCCTGCATTTTACTTTTCCAATTTTTCTTTGGGTCAATGTCAAGGAGGTCTCCCAGAACTTCCCTATGAAATCACATCTCAACACTGCTCCTCAGACTCTCAGATCTTATTTCTATTCTAGGAATATCTTCAAATAATGGCTGCTCAGAAAGAGGGGCCTGGGCTCTGCGGTGTCTTAGGACATCACAGTGGAACCTGACATACAGCTTGAGCCCTGAGAGCAGGAAGGTCCACCTTGCCCAAAGGAAAACACAACCTAGAATAGTAGGCCATTATACGTAGACAGGTGTGGGTGAAGTGAACAGCATCACTGAGGTCAGAATCCTAAACTTTTTCCACTTTAATGCTGGAAGGTTATGTAAAGGCACAAATACAAAATGGAATTTAATAATTACCTATGTGATAAAATCCTAAATTTTCTGCTTTCCCAGAACAGTTACCGAAACAAACATCAAAAAATTCTTAGTGGTGAAGGAAAACAGGGGTTGAATTTAATATGGAATTTGTAATATTCTAGAGTTCAGAAAGTTAGATACGGGACACACACCATGGGATCCATTAGCGCATTGATAAATACTGTAGTCAAGGTTCTACCAGCTTTCTTAAATGTTAATTTGGAATTGTTATCCAAGACTACTAATGCCATGTATTTGTCTTTTTTTATTGTCTGTTTTTCTGCAGTGATGAATCTAACCTTCCAAGCATGAAGTTGTGTATATAATGGTCCACTTTCTATATTTATAGTTGAAAACAGAATTGCAGATTTTACAAGTCTGAGATATGTTTACATAGAGCTGCTTCTTCCTGTCCGCAGTAGTACACGTGTCCATCTCTTTTCCACTTACATCTGAAATTGGGCAATTTATGAAACCAGTGAGAAGTCTGCAAAAAAATATAGATCAGTGTCTCTTTATCTTATATGAAGATATGTATTTATATGGACATCTGTGATAGAGAATGATCGTTCTTGCTATTTTCTTACTTTGGGCTTGTGAATTGCATGGACAAAAAGTGCCATGACATCGTTTACATGAAATTGTGACCAAATATGGACTCGAGTCTATGAACATGTACCATACTGACTGACTTTGGAGTTTGCCATCACTTCCCCAGTCACCTTCCCTGTTAGCAATGATTCGTGCCCACACCACCTACTGAAACTGACTAAAAAAGCATGACTGTGTGCCAAACCTGCCTGTCCTTGTGCAAATTCAGATGCTAGCATGCTGCTTTATGAGTCCTTTGATTACATCTGAGCTTTTATTCCTTTTGTCATCTCAAGGGGGTTACACCATGGCTTATTGCCAAAAAGAGATAAGTTGGTGGAAAGCACACAATTGGTCTATCATTTTGAGGGAGTTGCAGTCTCAGCTGCAGATCTCCAGCTTCCAGTATTGTGAGCTCATGGGGCCACCTTGGCTGAAATACCAAGGGGGTGAGCTGATTGCTGCCGCTGGTTTTCCTGGTGCTGCTCTTGGCAGTGAAGACATGGGAAGAGGACCGGTTCAGCATCCTGCGCCATCTCTCATGTGACCAAGTAGGAAAGAGGTTTACAAATGCGAACACCCAGAACAGCAGACTTTTTTTTTTTTCTAATAAATTGAATTCCAGTGAGTGTTAATCTGGGTGATTTTGGAGAAAGAGCCATGCAGCACTTCTTTTGCGACAGGAGATCCTTGGAATGGCAGTCCCTGTTCCTGAGGACAGTGGGTGTGTACATTGCATCTAAGCCCAGATTGCTGAAGAAGTACCATGTCCCAAGAAGGGGCAGCCAAAATGTCCCCTCCTGGAGGTACAGAGGAGCTCACCGGTACAATCTCTACCAAAGTTGATGTGAGAGCTTTCTTTCCTTCCAAGATCCAGCCATACCAAACATTTTCTACAAGTTCTAGAAACAGATAGATATTTTCCATTCTTTTTAAAATATTTTTGGGGTTTCATTTTTAGTCCCAGGAATATTTAGAAAATATTTGTTTCAGTTTTTGTCACGTCTGTCACAAGCAATATTTTTAAGACAAGTCATCAAATCATAATTTGGTGCCAACACTCAAAATGACATCTCTCTTGTTTTAGATAACTGAAGAGAAAAGCAACTTCGATTTCAATTTAATCATTGTAGAGCATGAAAGTTAAGCATTTTTTCAGTATTTTTTGACTTTTTTTTACATGATGAATGTAACAAATTATCAGCTGATAGACAAGGTTTTAGAGCATTAGCTCACTTCTATTTCTTATGATTGTTTTTTCTATAGATTTCTTTCTTTTAATATTTTTTAATGTTTCTTATTCACAGACCAAACCCAAGTTCTCAAAAAGCTGTGAAATACAGTTGCCATAAGCATGTTTTCATCTACTTGCTCAAAGGTTACCTAACCATATTAGACTGAGCACTTCTTTGCACAGTAAGAAGTTGGTGGCATGTTTTGAAGTGGCTTAAGTGGAAAAGTTACATGAGGAGAAACATTGTTGATAGTAGTCACCTGTTAGGTCAGTAGAGATTTTAATTTCCTTCAAGGATTCAATGCCATTTCGTTGGGAAATTTCTAGTTTTGTGAATAAGTTTTTTTGTGTGTGTGTGGTTTTTATTTTTAAACCACTGGAGGGGAAATTTGCTCATTGTTGATTTGAATGATTCAAAATGGTGTCTTTTTAAATTAATTTATCTTGTTTCCAAGGTTAAAGGCATGTTTAAACTATTAGATTAGTCTACTTGGTAGTATTTCTTGTAACATTCCACACCCCAAGCCAACTTAGCATTTTGAAAATAATAGAGTGCCTCATATGGCATAGGTAGCATAAGTTATTCCTCAATGTCTGAAATGATTTGTCTTAAATGGTTTGGGAAAAGTGAACTGGAGTGGAACTACATTCTGTTTAGAAAAACCAACTAACATCTTGAAAAAAAAGTCGGGTAGCTATATTTCTATCCTCCTTTCTGTTCTTCTAGTAGAAAGAGGTATTGAGATCACTACCTAAAACTTACACAGCTTCAGATAAGAATACCTCAACATCAAAAGAGAAGCATTTCATATATAAACAAAGTTTTAGAATTTGGCCCTTTAAGGAATACAGGGCTGTCCTTTGTGTATATTGGGTTTTTTGATTTGAGTTAAGTGATTTGACAGCATTGACTTATTCCATGATTAAAGGAAGTTGTAAACTTACATTTCATTTATTACCTTGAGAAAAAACAATGGGATGATGTCACTCCTCCTGATTCAGTGGAATTTCGAGGTCTTAAACACTATAGATGATCTGAAAGTTTTGCATTATTAAAATATGTTCATGCATCATTTTGTCATCAATACAGGGAGTCTTCAGATAACTTCCAAATGAATAATTATGATTGTTGATATATGTTGATAAACATATTTCCTAAATATTTCTTTTAATTTATATTATTGGATAGAGGATTGAGAAAAATATATGAAAGACACATTGGAAATAAATCAAGGTTTACTTCTGAGAAAACATCTTTAAAAGATGCAAATTGTCGTGTTTTAGCTTTAAAACTTTTCCATTCACATTGGCTGGTGCTAATGTATTTTATTCTTTCTTTATGGACAGTGCAACTCTACTATGGATAATTTCATTTCTCTGATTATTAGCATTCCTAAACTCAGTGTGTAATTTTTCTTTTAAAATTCATGAATTTGCTCTAATTATGGTTCAATGACCATCCTCTCTTAAATGTAAAGTGTGCCTATAGATAATGTGTTTTTACTTGGATCATGGGTCCCTTTGTTTCATGTTAATTTTATACATACTGTGCCTTTATCAATTTTTGTTCTTTTTCACTGACTCATCTTTTCAACTTATATAATTTGATGAAACTTGATACAATCAGTGATAGAGGAGTCTGCACACTCCACGCGGTTGCATGAATACGCCTACACTACTCTACCAGTTTTCACTTTGCATTTTCAATAGCAGGCCTGGAGGAGTTTTCTTTATCATCTGAGTTTATACAGAACATTGGAATGCCTTTCATTTGTACCAATAGAAAGGTATTATTTTTGAATTTGCAGTTTGTGCATATGATGTTCTAATGGGACAAGAATTTATGCATCCTGTAGTTTATACTACATGTCCTTTGTCCACAATGTGTGTGTTTGGAAAATGATCAAATCAGCATAGCTTTACCTATTTGAAACCTTGTTTTTCCTCTATTTCTTAATAATCAAATTACATTAATATTTAAGACTACTAAAAGTAGAATTTTCTAACTTCAACAAATAAAAACCCTGCTATCTCTAGGAAGTCAAGGTCCACTAGGAACCTTATCTTTCCAAAAAGAAGAAATCACATGTGACACAATCTGTCAAAAAAAAAAAATCCCACATCCTAAACATGCTTAACCAATTATGATTCTGCTGAATTATTTTAGAATATAAAGACCTTCAGTCCATACTCCATCCCATTTTCCCCTAATGTGTCTTCATATTGG